GGTAATAAAGACACACCTGTGACTGGATAATTTATAAAAGAAAGAGGTTTAATTGAATCACAGTTCCACATGGCTGAGGAGGCCTCAAAATCATGGCTGAAGGGTAATGAGGAGCAAAGTCATGTCTGACATGTTGGCAGGCAAGAGAACTTGTGCAGGGGAACTGCCTTTTATAAAACCATCAGAATAAGTGAAACTTACTACCACAAGAACAGCATGGGAAAGACCTGCCCTCATGATTCAGTAACCTCCCACCAGGTCTCTCCCATGACACATGGAAATTATGGGAGCTACAATTCAAGGTGAGATTTGAGTAGGGAAACTGCCACACCATATCCATAGGTTATCTCTTTACCCTGTTGATTGTTTCCTTTTCTGCAGTGAAGCCTTTTCATTTGATAAAATCTCATTTGTCTATTTATGCTTTTGTTGCCTTTGCTTTTGAGGGCATATCTGAAAAATGATTGTACAGACTAATGTCAAAAAGATTTCCTCCTAGGTTTTCTTCTAGTCGTTTTACAATTTAGGTCTTTTGAAAATGTAAACAATATTATATTGTTGCCCTGCTCTCAACTCTCCATCACATTGTGTATCCAATTAGAATCAAATTCTCTGTCCTTACCATGGCCTATATGGTCCTGTGTGGACTGACTCCTGCTTCCTTCTCTGATGGCATCCACTACCTTTTCTTCCCTTCATTCCTTTCACTCCAACCACAGATGGCTCCTCTTTATTCAAACAACTTAAATCCACCCAGATATGAGCACCTGTGCACCTTGTATTTCCTCTTTGAATTCTCTTTCCATATGTTCACTTCTTCACTTTATTTAGTTCTCTTTCCAAATGGCATGTGTCCAGAGAGGAATTCTTTGAGCACCATATGAAAATTGGCACTACTGTCATCACTTGCTTTTTCTTTACTGTTTTATTATTATTTAGAATATCTCTGATACTTAATTATTCATATTTAACTTATTTATCTTTTTTATCTGCTAGAAGGTAAATTTCATGATAACATGGTCTGTCTAATATACAACTATTTATCACAATACAGAATAATGCCAGGTACACAGATAATCCTCTGAAAGATTTTTAGTAAATAAGATAATTTTTCATTCAAAAACCCTTATTTTTAAAATAATAAACTCAGAGCACTATACTAATGAGAAGTTGCATATTAAAAATTCTAGGATTCTAGAAATTTGTTTCATTTTAAATAGGAAAAATACACATCACTCTAAGAGAATGGGAAAATATTAGAGAGAAATACTTTTAGTATGATCTTCTTTTTGGATCTGAATTCCAACTTTCTAGGGAATAAATCAACTAATCCCACTAACTCTTCTACTCTAAATAAAACCTGTACTTTTTTCATCCTGAGATGAAATACACACAATGCCCTTGTCTGATGTTTCCTATCCAAGGAACCATTGCCCAGATGTTTAAGAGGGAGATGAATCTTCAGCTGTTTAACACTTAACCAAGAATAGATTGTTTTGTTTTCTCTCTGTCTCTCTCTCCTGTCTCCATTGATCCTGAATGTGTTTATGTGTGATGGGTGGAAAGGGAGTGGTGCTCTGCTAACCAAGAATCTAGGAGAGGTCCCAGTTTCATCACTTGTCAAATAGAAATGTGTGCAAACTCATTATATCAAGTGGGGTTCATGCTGGGCAGTAAGCACCCCACAGAAAGAGAGGGATCTAGGGAATAATGGCTGACCCAGAAATAAGTGTTATAATAAATTCTAAAAAATTTTGTATCAAACTTGTTTATCAAATAACAAAAGCAAAGACAATAGTAAATATGCTTATTTCATTACCTTGCTTTCCAGAGTGCTTCATTTCTTAAGGAAATGACTTTGATGTATTTTTTTAACTACTTGGAAGAAAGCCATTTTAAACTGAGTTTAGAAGCTAAATCAATACAACAATCTCCAGAACTGAGATGAAGAGAGCATTCTACTTCATGAATTAAAGTGAAATTAAAAGTCTCAACTGACTCATGGGGCTGACCACATACTTCTGATATGTCCTAGGTTTAATGAGTCACAGTCCCTGAATGACATTTCCTTCCTCATACATCACTGAATGGGTAAGTATTTAGTGAAGAATAAAAATTATTTGAGTTTAATTTTTCAGCAGCTGCTATACACTTTGCAGCTGTATGTATAGTAGTTTTATTCTCATTTTATAGGGGCCATCATATTATAGGTGAATGAATTTTGGTTTTCTAAAGATGCCTTTCAGATATATATTACTTACAAAATAGGTTCTACTTATCAGAAACCAAACCATGACTACAAGAATGTTATTCATAGGAAGAAGACATGATTCTTCTCTTCAAATTCCTCTATGGGTGACTGTCCCATTAAAATGAAGCATTAGTTTTCAATTATGGTGTGAAATTAGACTCCTTCTAGGCAAACTTCTGTATGTCGTGCTTGAGATGATTACAATAAAAAATAGGAAAATTATGTTTCTGAAGTTTCTAGACAAGAGTAGGTCTGGACAGCCACAATTTCTACTTATCTGTTTCTACCTAAGAGATTTCCCAAGAAAAGACTTAGACACTATAAATCATCTGTAGCTGTTTCTAATTAAGGACTATGAATACACCAAAAATGTATCAATTACTAATAATTAGTGGTATCTGATAAAGCTATTATGGCAGATTTCTAACTTTTACAGTCAAGTGTTTTTGCTATATATACAAATTACTTATACCATGGAGGTCAGAATGTGAGATGTGACTGTTGTGAGGAAACTGGAAAGCTGTCAGAAATCATGGGAGTTCTAGCTTCTACTTAACTCTCTTCCTCACATGAACAATTTAGTTTTGCTCACAGGGTGTTTTCATCTCCCAGCATACTTTCCATTCTTTTCTATATATCCTGTTTACTCATAATAACTGCTTCTGGATGCCATAGGTATGCACATGAATCACCATGACTGCCTCAGACTCCCTCTACTGAAATTTTGCAGCTTCAATTCTCATAGGTAACTCCTGTTTGTTGGGTTTTCTGGTTCAGATTACTCAGAAAGAAAATTTGATTGGCTAAGCTCATAATTTTCTTTCCTTTTGTTTTTCAATAAAGCTTTATAAGGATAAGATTTACACACCATTAAAAGCACTCATTTAAAATATACAGGTAATAATTTTTAGCAAATTTGTAGAGTTGTGCAATCATTGCCATAATCCAGTTTTAGAACAGCTCTATCAACATAAAAAACTCCTTTGAACTTATGTAGAGTCAGTCCCTACTCCCATCTCCAGCTGCAGGCAACCACTTACCTGCTTTCTGTCTCTATAAAATGTCTTTTCTGCATATTTCATATAAATAGAATCATACCACATGTCATGTTTTGTGTATGACTTCTTTGAGTATAATGTTTGTGAAGTTCATACTTAATTACTATAGCTTTAGAATAAGTTTTGAAATTGAGTTGTGTTCTCCAACTTTGTTCTTTTTCAGAAGTGTTTTGACTATTCTGGGTCCTTTTTATTTCTGTACAAATCTAGGGTCATTTAATCAATTTCTTAAAAAAAAAAAAACCGGGATTCTGATAGGGATTGCATTAAATATATTGATCAACTTAGAGAGAATTATCATTTAAAATATTGAGATTTCTGATCTATAAACACGTAATGTCTCTTTAGATATTTAATTTCTCACCAACATATTTTGTAGTTTAGTGTATAAATCTTGCACTTCTATTGTTAAATTTATTTCCATATATTTTACATTTTTTGATGCTATTAAAAATGGAATTATTTTCTTAATTTTATTTTTGATTGCCACTGTTAACATACAAAAATATAATTTATTTTTTATATATTTTATGTCTTGTGTTACAAACTGCTCTGTAGTGGTTTTACAGTAGTTTTATTGTGAATGCTCTGAATTTTCTACATAGATGATTTTGTAGTTTGCTAATAAAAATGCCTTATTTCTTCCTTTTCAATCTAAATGGATCTACGTATTATCCATTGTTGAATTGTACCCTCTAGAACCTCTGGCTGTAATGTTGAATAAAAGTGATGAGAACAGATATCTTTGCTATGTTCCAGATCTTAAGTGGAAAACATTAAGTCTTTATTAGGTATTATGCTAGCTGTAGGCTTTTTGTAGATGCCCTTCATCAAGTTGAGAAAATATATTTCTAGTTAATTGAGAATTTTTAATAGGACTGTTAGATTTTGTCAAATGCTCTGTCTGCATATACTGATTTTACTAATATGTTGTATTACTCTCTTTAGTTTTCATACCTTAAATTAATGTTGCATTTCTTGGATAAATCTGACTTGTTCATATTTTACATTCCTTTTTACTTGTTATTGTTTTTTTTTGCAATATTTTATCAAGGATAAAATGCATGTCTAAGAGCCATATTGGTCTGTAGTTTTCTTTACTTGCTTTTTCTTTTCATTCTTTTCTTGCTTTGGTATCAGGGTAATATTAGATTCAGATAATTATTCATACACTGTTTTCCTCTCCTCTACTTTCTAAAAGAGTTGGGAAAGAGTTGGTGTGATTTATTTCTGAAATATTTTATAGCATTGACAATTCAGCCATCTTGGCTTGGGGTTTTCTTCATAAGAACATTTTAAATTCCTATTTCAATTTCTTTAATCATTATAGGTCTTTACAGATTTCCATATTTTCTTGAGTCAGTTTTAGCAGTTTATCTCTTTCTAACAATTTTCCCATTTCATCTAAGTTGTCTAATTTGTTAGCTGAGCTGTCCTTTTAGTACAGGTAATATCACAGATTACTGCCCAGCCTTGCATTAATCTTCTTTGCCATCCATTCATTTGTGGCTGCAGTGGGATAGGGTATCACTGAGAAAGATCAGGTTGCCAAATAATTTTCTACTGGGTAGAGACTAAGAAACAATTTAGGTAGAGCAAAATTCCTTGGCAGTTGTATGCTGGAAAATATTCTGAAGCTGGTTTTATCCAACACACTAGTTTAACACTTCAGCACAAATCCTGATACTTACTCTTGTGTTGGTAACTTTGCAATGTTGAAACAGCATTTGGAAGTGCAAGATTTGTTACTGCTACATTTGAAATAATGGACTCATTCTTCTTGCCATCAGTCGTTGTGATTATTAATTCTGTAAAAAGAATAAAAAGTCTTCAGGGGTATAACAAATCACCAGATCATCTTATTGATTTTTTCAAAAAAAAATTTTTGTTGCATTTTAGGTTTTGGGGTACATGTGAAGAACATGCAAGATTGGTGTGATTGGCTGCCTTCCTCCCCTTCACCTATATTTGGCATTTCTCCCCATGCTATCTCTCCCCACCTCCACACCCCCCATCCCTCCCCGATTTTCCCCCAGTGGACCCAGGGTGTAGTGCTCCCTTCCCTGTGTCCATGTGTTCTCATTGTTCAACACCCGCCTATGAGTGAGACTATGCGGTGTTTGATTTTCTGCTCTTGTGTCAGTTTGCTGAGCATGATGGTTTCCAGGTTCATTCATGTCCCTACAAAGGACATGAACTCATCTTTTTTGATGGCTGCATAATATTCCATGGTGTATATGTGTCACATTTTAGCTGTCCAGTCTTTGATCGATGGGCATTTGGGTTGGTTCCAGGTCTTTGCTGTTGTCAACAGTGCTGCAATGAACATTCGTGTGCATGTGTCCTTATAGTAGAATGATTTATAATCCTTTGGATACATACCCAGTAATGGGATTGCTGGGTCAAAAGGGATTTCTATATTTTTAGGTGCTTGAGGAATCGCCACACTGTCTTCCACAATGGTTGAACTAATTTACACTCCTACCAACAGTGTAAAAGTGTTCCTATTTCTCACATCCTCTCCAGCATCTGTTGTCTTCAGATTTTTTAATGATCGCCATTCTAACTGGCGTGAGATGGTATCTCAATGTGGTTTTGATTTGCATTTCTGTAATGACCATTGATGATGAGCATTTTTTCATAAGTTTGTTGGCCTCATATTTGTCTTCTTTTGTAAAGTGTCTGTTCATATCCTTCGCCCACTTTTGAATGGGCTTGTTTGTTTTTTTTCTTGTAGATCTGTTTAAGTTCTTTGTAAATTCTGGATATCAGCCCCTCATCAGATGGGTAGATTGCAAAAATTTTTTCCCATTCTGTTGGTTGCTGATTCACACTAATGATTGTGTCTTCTGCTGTGCAGAAGCTGTGGAGTTTGATTAGGTCCCATTTGTCTATTTTGGCTTTTGTTGTCAATGCTTTTGGTGTTTTAGTCATGAAGTCCTTGCCTACACCTATGTCCTGAATGGTTTTGCCTAGGTTTTCTTCTAGGGTTCTCATGGTGTTAGGTCTTATGTTTAAGTGTTTAATCCATCTGGAGTTAATTTTAGTGTAAGGTGTCAGGAAGGGGTCCTGTTTCTGCTTTCTGCACATGGCTAGTCAGTTTTTCCAACAGCATTTATTAAACAGGGAATCCTTTCCCCATTGCTTGTTTTTGTCGGGTTTGTCAAAGATTGGATGGTTGTAGATATGTTGTGTTTCCTCCGAGGCCTCTGTTCTGTTCCATTGTTTGATATCTCTGCTTTAGTACCAGTACCATGAGGTTTTGAGTACTGTAGCCTTGTAGTATAGCTTGAAGTCTGGTAGTGTGATGCCTCCTGCTTTGTTCTTTTTGCTCAGAATTGACTTGGCTATGTGGGCTCTCTTTTGGTTCCATATGAAGTTTAAGGTGTTTTTTCCAGTTCTGTGAAGAAGGTCATTGGTAGCTTGATGCAAATGGCATTGAATTTGTAAACTACTTTGGGCAGTATGGCCATTTTCATGATATTGGTTCTTCCTAACCATGAACATGGAATGTTTCTCCATCTGTTTGTGTCCTCTCTTATTTCGTTGAGCACTGGCTTGCAGTTCTCCTTGAAGAGGTCCTTTACATTCCTTGTTAGTTGTATTCCTAGGTATTTTATTCTCTTTGTAACAATTGTGAATGGTAGTTTGTTCTTGATTTGGCTCTCTTTAAGTCTGTTACTGGTGTATAGGAATGCTTGTGATTTTTGCACATTGATTTTGTATCCTGAGACTTTGCTGAAGTTGTTTATCAGTTTCAGGAGATTTTGGGCTGAGACAATGGGGTCTTCTAGATATACAATCATGCCATCTGCAAATAGAGACAATTTGACTTCCTCCTTTCCAATTTGAATATCCTTTATTTCTGTTTCTTGCCTGATTGCTCTGGCTAGAACTTCCAGTACTGTATTGAATAGGAGTGGTGAGTGAAGGCATCCTTGTCTAGTTCCAAATTTCAAAGGGAATGCTTCCAGTTTTTGCCCATTCAGTATGATCTTGGCTGTTGGTTTGTCGTAAATAGCTTTTATTATTTTGAGATACGTTCCGTCAATACCTAGTTTATTGAGGGTTTTTAGCATAAAGGGCTGTTGAATTTTGTCAAAGGCCTTCTCTGCATCAATTGAGATAATCATGTGATTTTTGTCTTTGGTTCTGTTTATGTGGTGAATTACGTTTATGGACTTGCTTATGTTGAACCAGCCTTGCATCCCTGGGATGAATCCTACTTGATCATGGTGGATAAGCTTTTTGATGTGCTGTTGCAATTGGCTTGCCAATATTTTACTGAAGATTTTTGCATCTATGTTCATCATGGATATTGGCCTTAAGTTTTCTTTTCTTGTTGAGTGTCTGCCGGGTTTTGGTATCAGGATGATGTTTGTCTCATAAAATGATTTGGGAAGGGTTCCCTCTTTTTGGATTGTCTGGAATAGTTTCAGAAGAAATCGTAACAACTCCTCTTTGTATGACTGGTAGAATTCCACTGTGAACCCATCTGAACCTGGGCTTTTTTTGGGTAGTGGGCTCTTACTTGCTGCCTTGCCTTCAGACCTTGCTATTGGTCTATTCAGGGTTTCGACTTCTTCCTGGTTTAGGCTTGGGAGGATGCAGGTGTCTAGGAATTTATCCATTTTCTCCAGGTTTACTACTTTATGTGCATAGAGTTGTTTGTAATAATCTCTGATAATGGTTTGGATTTCTGTGGAATCTGTGGTGATGTACCCTTTATCATTTTTTATTGCATCAATTTGGTCATTCTCTCTTTTCTTTTTTATTAATTGGGCTAGTGGTCTGTCTATTTTGTTGATCATTTTGAACAACCAGCTCTTGGATTTATTGATTTTTTGAAGAGTTTTTTGTGTCTCTATCTCCTTCAGTTCTGCTCTGATCTTAGTTATTTCCTGTCTTCTGCTAGGTTTTGAGTTTTTTTTGATTTTGCTTCTCTAGCTCTTTCAATTTTGATGATAGGGTTTCAATTTTAGATTGCTCCTTGCTTCTCTTGTGGGTACTTATTGCTATATATTTTCCTCTAGAGACAGCTTTAAATGTGTCCCAGAGATTCTGGTATGTTGTGTCTTTGTTCTTGTTGGTTTTGAAGAACATTTTTATTTCTGCCTTCATTTCATTGTTTATCCAGTCAACATTCAAGAGCAAGTTGTTCAGTTTCCATGAAGCTATGTGGTTCTGCATTAGTTTCTGCATTCTGAGTTCTAACTCTATTGGACTGTGGTCTGAGAAACTGTTTGTTATGATTTCTGTTCTTTTGCATTTGCTGAGGAGTGATTTATTGCCAAATATATGGTCAATTTTAGAGTATGTGTGATGTGGTGCTGAGACGAATGTATATTCTATGGATTTGGAGTGGAGAGTTCTGTAAATGTCTATTAGGTTTGCTTGTTGGAGGTCTGAGTTCAGGTCCTGGATATCCTTGTTAATTTTCTGTCTTGTTGATCTGTCTAATATAGACAATGGGGTTTTAAAGTCTCCCAATATTATGTGTGGGAGCCTAAGTCTCTTTGTAAGTCATTAAGAACTTGCCTTATGTATCTGGGTGCTCCTGTATTGGATGCATATATATTTAGGATGGTTAGCTCTTCTTGTTGCAGTGATCCTTTTACCATTATGTAATGTCTTTCTTTGTCTCTTTTGATCTTTGTTGCTTTAAAGTCTATTTTATCAGAGATGAGAATTGCAACTCCTGCTTTTTTTTTGCTCTCCATTTGCTTGGTAGATCTTCTTCCATCCCTTTATTTTGAGCCTTTGTGTATCCTTGCATGTAGGATGGGTGTCTTGGATACAGCACACTGATGGGTTTTGGCTTTTTATCCAATTTGCCAGTCTGTGTCTTTTGATTGGGCATTTAGTCCATTTACATTTAGGGATAGTATTGTTATATGTGAAATTGATATTGCCATTTTGATGCTAGCTGGCTGTTTTGTTGGTTAGTTGATGCAGATTCTTGATTGTGTTGATGCTCTTTACCATTTGGTATGTTTTTGGAGTGGCTGGTACTGGTTGTTCCTTTACATGTGTAGAGCCTCTTTCAGGAGTTCTTGTAGAGCAGGTCTGGTGGTGATGAAATCTCTGAGTGCTTGCTTGTTGGCAAAGGATTTTATTTTTCCTTCACTTATGAAGCTTAGTTTGGCTTGATAGGAGATTCTGGATTGAAAGTTCTTTTTCTTTAAAGATGTTGAATATTGGCCCCCACTGTCTTCTGGCTTGTAGGGTTTCTGCTGAGAGATCTGCTGTGAGTCTAATGGGCTTCCCTTTGTGGGTAACCTGACCTTTCTCTCTGGCTGCCCTTAGCATTTTCTCTTTCATTTCAACCCTGGCGAATCTGAGGATTATGTGCCTTGGGGTTGCTCTTCTTGAGGAATATATTTGTGGTGTTCTCTATATTTCCTGGATTTGAATATTGGCCTGCCTTCCTAGGTTGGGGAAGTTTTCCTGGATAATGTCCCGAAGAGTATTTTCCAGCTTGGATTCATTCTCTTCGTCACATTCAGGTACACCTATCAAATGTAGATTAGGTCTTTTCACATAGTCCCACATTTCTTGAAGATTTTGTTCATTCCTTTTTGCCCTTTTTTCTCTATTCTGGCCTTCTCATTTTATTTCAGTGAGTTAATCTTCGACCTCTGATATCCTTTCTTCTGCTTGGTCAATTTGGGTGTTGAAACTTGTGCATGCTTCACGAAGTTCTCCGGTGTGTTTTTCAGCTCCATCAATTCACTTATATTCCTCTCTATGTTATCCATTCTTGTTAGCATTTCATCAAATCTTTTTTCAAGGTTATTAGTTTCTTTGC